GTGGAATCCTGATCATAGCTCTCCCCCAAATCGTCCCCTCCTTGACATCACACACACACACACATTTTCCCATTCCCAGGTCTCCTGTAATAGCCATAAGATGCTCCAAAAATACCCTCCCCCCACCGCATCCAGAGGATGATATCCAACCCTCTCTAGGGATATAGAATGTCTCTTTCCATATCTGGCAACCATGACCACGAATTAAGCGAGGGCTTCTGTGAAATATTCCCTTCGTGTGGCTCAGGGTTTAAAAAGCGCCCAAAAGGATACAGAAAGTCCTCAGTCAAGAAACGAACATATGTGTGAACACTTGAACATCACTTCACAATTAAGTGATACAACAGCCTTCTCAAGCCCTCTCTAACTAGAGGGCTTACTGTCTCTGAGCCACCTAGCTTTGACTCACAAAGTTGGGATGAGAACACTCAGCTCACCACACAATACACCTCAGCGGCGAGCATATGACAAGAAAACGACCTTTACTGTGTATCCATGGGACTCTTAAAATGCCAACAGTACAGTGTGATTAGTTCATGTTTTTTTTTATTTATCAGAAATGAGCTAAAAGAAAAAAAACCTTACGTGGTAACGGTATGCTTCCTGTAATTCCTGAGGCGATTGAGATGGAAGAATGCAAGTGAAAGTGAACTAAGGTGGGTGGGCTGATGTGCTTTTGTTCAAGTGTTGACACCTCCTAATATGTTGACAAATGTGTGTTTCAGCGGCCAGTCAACAACTTGCTAAAGTACGGCAGCAACACTTTCTGCTGCAGACGAGGACGGAGGCAGCAGAGAGGCGGTGCGGAGCGGGGCTGCGGAGCGTAAGCGTTTTAGCAGATAGGTGGACGAGAACACGCCGTCATCCTGAAACATGGCCGGCTGCAGCCAGAGGCCGTAAATCAAGCAGCGCCAGAATTTCAGCACCGGCTACAGCGTGACCCGGCACCTGCATTTTACAGTCTGCAATGCAGACACTGAGGTATTCAGTATACACACTAAGGACTACAACTTACAATTATGCACGTTTCTACCGGATTATTACTATTATTTACTCACTCCAAGCTTTTGTAGCAGTCTGCGGTCATTGTCCAAAACACAGACATTTTCATACAGGTACACGCATACATTCAAAAGACACACAATACACACATCTGCATGTAGTCACATGCCTTTACCATCTGAGGTTGCCTGGGTAGAGAGAGGATGAGAAAACATAACCAGGTCTGCCCCCTCTGGCCCGTGGCTGTTGGGAGGAGATGCCTCTCGCCTCCCATTTCCCCTGGTCCACAGGAGGCCCATCTCCACGCAGCCACTGACCCTTCTGTCCCACATGGCTAACTGGGCTCCTGTGTATTCACCACAGCAGAGCAACACTGATGGGAAGGAGGGGCGGGGCGGGGGCCGACAACATCTGGGAACCATCAAGCCAAGAGAGCCTTAGATCCTGAGATTCCAGTCTCCGACCCCTCTCCTCACCTCCCCCTCTTGCCTCTGCTCAACCCCTCCACCACCACTTTTCCTCTCCATCTGTCTCCCTCCCTCTCTCCCCTGTCCTCCTCCCCCCTCTCCTTTTCCTCTCCTCCCCTCGTCCCGGCTGCCCATCATTTCCATGTCTCTTCGGCAGTGGGCCTAATCCAAACAGATTGTCTAACTGTTTCAAAAACATACTCCCTTCTCTCAGCCCCCTCTGCTCCCCCTCTCTGTCCTGTGTTCATCCCGGGGAACAGACACTCTCTTTCATAGCGGAGGAGGTGCTGGTGTCAGTCTGGCTTGGGTTAGCAGGTTACTGCCGCACAGAACCGTTTCGGGAGGAATGAGCTTGCTAGGCCCCAAAGCACTTTGGCAGATCCCCGTTTAATACTCAGTCCTGACACATTACACGCCATCCAACCCGCTCCTCTCCCTCTCCCTCCACACCCCTACCAGCTCTGTATAGGAATGGCCACAGCTGGCAACATAGGCTTACTATGTGTGTGGTTCAAAGCCCATTGTCTCAGGCATATTGTCCAGCCCTGCCACCCTATCCCGCAGGCTAGTGCTGGGCCAGCGATAGCCTTTGGGGGGGGTGAGGGGGCCCAGTAGGGGGCTCAGGAACTGGGAGGTATCCCAGGAGACCACCAGGCCTCCCACTGGGTAGCCTGCCTACATCTGAAGCTCCCCCTGCCACTGCCTGCTGAACTCCTGCATACTGTGTTTTGTTTAGAAGGAAGCTCTGTCCCTATTTACCATAATTGAATTAAAAGGATTAACATGGTTCCAGTGTTGCTCACATCTGTGTTCTCTATGATTCCACCTCTCTCCCCGAGTCTTGGATTATTGAGGCAGGGGGACTGGGGATTTGAAGCTCCTTCGAAAAATATTCTTTTTTCAAAATAGATGCAAGATTTTACATAATTAAAGTCTGTTTTACAAAAAGGTGAATATGTCCTTTAGATTGTACTCCATTAAAATCTAAAGGCATTAACTAAATGTTTGTTAAAGGCTTCTGAATTGAATGTACAAAGGTTTCTGTATATTGAGAAGTACCAGAAGGATTTTCTGTGTTGGTTTTAGCCCTTTTGTGAGGCTGCCATCCCAATTGGATTGTGACTCAGGGTCAGGGAAGCTGTGGCCTGCAGATCAGAGGCTGGATTAATTGTTGACACTCTCCCAGTCCAAACAGAACCCTTACTACCCCCATTACACACACACACACACACACACACACAAACATACACACACTCCCAACTACATCAAGGTCCTGACAGACACTTTGATTTATGTCTCGCCACCAACAAAATAAGAGAACAAAATCAATTGGCTATTACCGCACTTAGCACTGGGCTGTCACCACCTGGGAGCAGGGTGTTGAAAATAAAAGACAGAGTCCATACGACTCTTCCATACCACTACATATACTCATTCCCACTGGGGAGACACAGATCAGTGCTCAATCTCCATACACAGCTAGTCTCCAAACTGAGTGTCTGTAACACTAGTGCTCAGGAGGGCGGTGGTAGCCCAGAGGTCAGAGAAGCTGGCTGAAGTGTCGATGGTTGGAATTGCCAGACCGGCTGGAAACCTGGAGGTGGAGAAAGCAACAACCACTGCCACAACACCGCTGAGCAAGGCTCTGACTTCCATCCGGCTAACAGCAGAGTACGGTGGTCTTGCTGGGTGGCTTACAGGTGTGACTCTTTGTAACTGCATGTCTATAAAGCAAAGTGTTGATTGAACAGATCAGACATTTAGCATTAAATGTAATACCTGAAAAAGCAGAGTTAATCTGTCTGCACACTTGGACTGAGGTGACTTCCAGAGTTCCAAGGAGGTAGAAAAAAAAAAGGCAGGAATGCGTGATTTAGGGAACCACGGACTGGGGCAGAAACTCAGATGCAGTGTAGGAAACGGAGAGTTCACACATTACTGTACAACACCTTATCACTTCCCCCTTATAGGGGCGTTCCAAATGGAGTGCAGTTGTCAGCGATATAAATGGGCCACATTGCATCGCTCTCTCCCCCCCATTCCCGTCCCTTCCATGTCATCTTGTCCCTTGCCAGCCCAGGAACCATGTCTGACCCAACAACTGCGCGTCTGCCAACTTGAATGCGGGCCAGGGTCATCGGCGGGGGCCTCATGGCCTCCGAGGGACTATTCTGAGAGCAGGAGCTCATCTCTGTTCTAACCCCTCACTGGCGTCTTGTGACTGTGTTAAAAATGGCCCTATGCTTGCTTGCTCGCTCTCTCTCTCTCTCTCTCTCTCTCTCTCTCTCTCTCTCTCTATCTCTCTCTCTCTCTCTCTCAATCAAATGTTCACTGCGCATCCTGATAATTAGGGAGAAAAAAAGTGATATGATCATAACATGCATGCTTGTACAATCAAGCTTCAGCATATGTTAAGTAGTGCTAAGAAAGTAATGCATTAGATACATGTGGATTCACCCACACTTGCACATTGTTGCTCATGCTCATTCATTCATACATGTACTGTTAAAATCTGCAAATCATCTTTGTGTCCATCTGCAGGTTCACATTCCGACCCGCTGACCATACACTGTAATCACTGTGTATTTAGCGTTATCTTCAGAGAGCTGGCCCGTGTGAGACCTTTTTACGACACTGTAAACTTTTACTGCCTGGGTCTTACTGCTTTAACTCCAGTCCAGCAACCCGAGGGAACGGGGAGATTACGGAGGGAGCTTATGGGATCGAAAGGGAGAAAGCCACTGTTGTCCATCTCAGCAGCAGCAGAATGACAGCCCACAGCCAGCTGTTCTGACACTGCCATGTAAGCCAGTAAGATGAAGTATTTTGCAAGATATGTTCAATAGGTATACCTGTCTATACGCAATGGGGCGCAATGGGGCTTGTTCTCGTGTATCCAAACAATCCTCGTGATATCAACTCCATAGCCTTTACTGTAATTCAGACATGTTCAAACAATCGCTAACTGTAATTTATATTTTCTACATTATCCATGGTTGGAGGATATGGATAAACTGATCTCAATCCACTAGACTGATAGCTTACTGCCTTCTCCAGCTCGAGTTGGCTTTTATCTCCAACTGTGCATGTGATGGAGAGGCTTCTTGCTGTTAAATCATCTATTTCATGAGTTGCTGGCAATTTAAGGGAAAAACCTAAAGAAGGCTATTAGAGCCCGGCTTTGTTAATGCAGCCACCCATTAAAAAAATCCCCACGGAGCCAAGGAAAGTGGACTCTTACACTTTAAGTGTCTGAACACACACCAACAGACTTGCACTAACAGATAAATATGCATCCACACACAAAAAAAAATGCAATCATAGAGACAGACATGTGCAGATATGTTATTTGCCTTTTAAACACACAGCATCACAGACATCCACTGCTTCCTAATGTACGCTTATAACAAAACATTACACAACATTGTTAAAAATAAAAGATTTCATTAAACATTTTCACAGATCCTTGGGCAGGAACAAAACCCAGAACAACGATACAGTACGTATGCACGGACGTTGAGCAATACATACCCATAGAGACACCTGTTGTGACACTCAGATTGCCATTGCCCCAAGATAGTCGGTCATCTCTGAATGCGTGTTCACGTGAGCTCCTGGGGGTTGGGACAGAGCTGCCTTCTGGTGCAATACAAACAGGACTTTTATAGGCATGTTTACGAGCGGTTGGTCGTAGTCCCCCGTTTTGGGACAGGCTGGGCTGAGCTAGGCTAAACCGAGCTGGGCGAGGGGGGGGGCAGGCAAGGATTGATGTCAGGCAGGACAGTACAACCCTGTCTGGGCGTCTGGGTCATATACCATGACCTCTGCTCTCTCTGGTTTCAGCTCAGGTTGCCGTTTCATGTGGGCTCTCCTGCAGGGGGACACTAACTGTCAACATAGCTCCTCTGTGAATGGCATAGGTCAGTGCACACATGTGGTTGTAGGGAGTCTAGTTGGTGCTCACAATGGATCACGTAGAGAAAGCACCCCGCTGCGAAAATGGACCCTATAAATAAGGGCTGAACATGCTGCTATTCCAGTCAAACATGCTTCTATTACTCCTGTTGATGCATTGATGTTTCAACCACATCAAAGTTTACATTTAAGGACAAGATTAACCATTAGCCACGGCACGGTTGCTTTCTAGGCTTCTATGTTGTGCAGTATGACAACAGCTGTGCTAAAGGCCAGATGAGGCCCTGACTCTGTGGGCTAAGGAATCATTATGGGCTCATAAAGCGCCCTGCGCCAAGCCTCCACTCAATAAGCCTGGATTTACATGGAACCAATGCAGCTGATTAATTAGTCAAGCAATCAATGGGCTGTGCCTTCCATCCACTGATTTCCTCCTGTATGTTGCACAGGTACTGCAGCAATTACGACACACATTGAAAAGCATGTATACAAGCACACATTCACACTGTATGCAGGAAACCCTACATAAAGACACATACATTCACACACAAGCCATCACACATGTTTCCCTCCTTTACACTCACATACACTTGTCTACAAAATGATAATGAGATACGAAAACAAAGAAAAACACTTTGAATTGGGGATAAGAGACGACGGAGGGAGAAAAAAAAAAAAAAAGCTGAGGGAATAAGTAAGAAAGTTCTCACCTTCAAAGCGGTGAGAGCAGGCTGGCTGTCAGTCAGGAGAGGGAGGTGCCATTTGAAGGATCAGTCATCCCTGACAGTGCTGTCATGGAGAGCCTTAATTAGCCAGGATTACTTCCTCACTTAATGAAGCATGCGCTTCTTCGTCTCGGCCCGAATACCACTCTCCCCACTCCCTATTTTCCCTCCCTCAGGTTTTCTCCTCCGTCTATCTCCCTCACTCATTCTCAGTAGCTCTTCCCTGTTCTGTGCCCTTCTCTCCAGGCAGGCTGCTCAAATCGCTTTTCATAGTGGAGACTTCGTACATCCCCTATCACAGACGCTCTGTCACTTTCACTAACCCAGGTGGGTGTGTGTTCACTCTCCTCTCTACTCTCTTTCTTCCCCCCCCTGCACCCTCAATTCCTCCTCAATTGATGCTTAAACTGCAGCAGTTTTACTCAAGCAGTGCTCGAGCACCGCACATGGACAAGGCCTGTTGGTTTGTCTATTTGAATGGCAGACTTTGCGAACAATTAATTCTGTGGTCCTTCCAAAGCCGCCCCACATGAGAGTGGAGTTCCGAGCAAATGAAACGTAGTTGCTTGTCTAGGATTGTGCAGCAGATGAAGGCAATGTTGGCATCCTTTGTGAAAATGTAGCTTATGAATGAGTCATCTCTCTTGTCTCCTTTCACTGTATTCTCACCAATAAATGCAAATGCATTGCAGTTTTTTTTTAAGTATATTAAACCTGACAGAGATGGAATAGTTAAGTAAGACAGGGATGATGGGGTGGGAAGGGAGAAGAGAGTGGTGATGGAGAGGGCTGACTAATAAAGTAGTGAAAGGATGGACAGAGTATGAAGAGGAGGAGGAAGAGGAGGAGGAGGAGAGAAGTGAAGGAGAGGTATAGGGCTCGGAGGAGCAAGGAGAGCAATTTGCCACCACAGCGCACACAATGTCCCCTCCATGCCTGTGGGCCATGTGAAGACTGCTCCTTCAATTACACTTCACACTGGTCAGGGAGAAAGAGATACAGAGAGAGAGACAGACAGAGTAGGTAAGGGATGGAGAGAGAGACAGTTAGATAGAGGCTCAAAGATCTCAATGAAGATATAGACCGCAAAAGGCAAAAAAGTAATATACAATACTGTTCTGTTTGTTGATTAGTCCGCACCAGGCGACAACCTCCGGGTCTGAAAAGTGAAGCCTATGTTGTAGGGCCTTAAAGAAAGAAGAAGTTTAATAGTATGGAAGTCTATGAGAATATGACCCTACTTCTCACTTGATTTACTATCAGAGTAAACATTGTAAACATGAGTTTATGGTCTCAATCAATAGTTTCAAGTCTTCATCAATACAGCATGATGTTCCTTTTGTAAATGATGGTCCTATTCAGAGAAAATGGACAGTGAAGCAGGGCATGCTTTAGAGCGTGGCTACCTTGTGATTGACAGGCTGCTACCACAGCGTTGTCCGGTCTGGGAGGTAACCTTTCAATGTGTTTTCAGCTGAGCTTTGTTGTAACATTTACGTCGCCTAAAAATGTCTTATTTAGCGGTTGTACTTAGCTCCACCCTCTATGTTTCTATGTACCCGACAAGGACCTCTAGTCGCCATGCAAAGTGTCAATAGTGTCGGAATAGTAGCAGAACGTTTCTATACAGCTGCAAAAAACCTTGTGTGGAGGTTGAAGAAGGGCTGCTGTTTGTTTTCTGTTTCCTACCAACAGTCCATGTTTTAATTTTTAACTGTGGCTGTGATGTTTCCTAACCAGTGAAAGATCAGAAAACAGTTATACGTGTTTCATATTTGTTGTTTTGGGAGGGTAATTAAAAACTGCTTAACTTTTATTTAGTTTGGGGGACTTATTGCTTCATCAGGATATCAATCACTAGCACAAAGCAGTGGCACTATCTACAGTCATGTAATTCCTGAACTTAAAGGGAAGCGCTGGTGATTTAATATTGCACTGCCATAATGTTCAGGCAATCACAAGATAACGATTATAAAAAGAATGGTCAAAATCGATGTAGTCTAAAATATCCAGGCTCTAAAAACAGCAAATCCTACATTTCCCACAATGCAACTCAAGTGCGTTTTTTCTTCTAGACTGCCTCATAAACATCCACGTCTTTCAAACTCCACAGTTTGTAACATTTTAAATTGAAAATGTGTAGTCTCACGCTCAAACCTGAAGACATCTTCAGGGTCATTTTCTCAGAATTGACAAAGTTCCAAAACCCAAGAAGACATTGTTCAACTGTTTAGTAGTAAACTGATATCCGCAGGTAAAATCATTTCAGTACCCCCTTAAAACAATATCTGTCATATTTTACACAAATGTATCCTATTACTGCACTGAAGTGGGTCCAGTATGTTTCTACAGCAGCATCCACATGAGAATAAAAAGGCTGGATGAGAGTAAGACATCCAGTCCAGGACAACAGGCACACAGGGACCTCCAGCAGGCTGCTGTCAGCTGGCCAAATGAAGTGATAGGACCACAGCCTAGTAGCTAACATGGCTAACAGATATGAAGCCAACAGAGTGGCTGATTGAGGGTGACAGGAGGGCATGCTCTAATACAGGCCACATTCAAGATGGAGGCTGGCTCCTTCTTCCACCCCCTCCTCAATAGGTCTCTCAAACATGCCCACCAGGCATGGGCCGGCTGCTGACGAGGAGGGAGGTGGAGGGATTGAGGGATGGAGGTGGAGGTTTGGGAGTGTTGGGGGTGGAGGGTTGGGGGGGGGGGGGGGTGTCTGTATCAATCCGTCACAGGCTGACAGCTGACTCCTGCGCCCGCCGTGGCCACGGGCAACTGACCAGAACCAGGCCAGAGCTGGCCAGCTGTATGTGCGTGTATGTGTGTGTGTGTGTGTGTGTGTGTGTGTGTGTGTGTGTGTGTGTGCGCATTTCAGCTGCGCAACCACTCGACACACCCATATATACGTCTCATCTTCCATCCAACGGTAGCCATATCCTTCTCGCCATCTCTCTGCCTCTCTCACTTGCCCTGCCTCCCCGGCCTGTCCGTGACATCTTACAAGTCAATCAATCAGTTTCAGTGAGCTGGCATGAGAGCACTGCATTTATCCAGAGCACACCCTGCCTGTCATACTTGCTGAAGTATTTGTATTTAAACTGACCTTCAAATCAATCCACTTTTCTCCTTCTGTAGTGCCTCAGGTATGTGCAACAACATACGAGAGTCTTCAGAGAGAAAGGAATGGCAGAGAACAACATCTGGTGTCTTTCAGTTCCACCCTCAGCAGCTTCTACCTGCATGGCTCCTGGTATTTGGAAACCTCTGTCTCTGGTATGCCCTCAAAAATGAAGCGATTGTTTCATCTGTAGCCGCTTGTAGGTGTGTCAGCTCTTGTGTGTGCACTAGGGTTCACTCAAACGTTCAGTGGCTGCATGTAATCGAATTTGTTGAGTCATTGCTACTGAATTTAAAGTCATTATATGTACCCAAAATCATGGACGTTGTGAGACTAAAAGGATGTTTATTTTTTTTTATTGTATAACGCAATATCATATTACGAATGTCTATTATATATTGTGCAACTACCAGCACAAACAGCGACAGTTTAATTAATCATAACCACTTCTGCTGTCTACTGCAATTTTTTGGGAGTTGTTTCCCTTACTCTCACTTCCATTGAGATTATTGTGCTCTATATGTTTCAGTGTTTATTTTACTTTACTCCACACACACGCGCGCGCACACACACACACACACACACACACACACACACACACACACACACACACACACACAGTTGCCCCCTTCCCTGCCTCCCCTCAGCTCCACTTTGAATTCAGGAGGACCCTGTGCTCCTCATGTCTGTTTTTTCAGCCTGATTTTACCCCCCTCATCCCCATTCTTCAACAAACCTCCCCCCCCCCCCGGGCCCCTCCCTGTCGTGCCCCCACAAGCCTCCCCTCCACCACCACCACCCCCTCCGGCTTCTGACAGTACCTCAGCGGGAGAGCACAGCCC